ATGATAAACCATCATCAGGTTGGATTTATCCTAGGGATCCATGGATTGTTGACCATATACAAATCAGTAAGTATGATATATAACTTAAGTGGAATCAAGGACAAAAACATAAGATTTTCTCAATAAAAATACAAAAAGCCCTTATGAAATTCAGCATTCCTTCATTATAGAAGTTCTCCATAAACTAGGCCTAAGAGGGATCATACCTCAACCCATAATAAAGGCTGAATATGACAGAGTCACAGCCAACATCCTATTTAGGAAGAGTTGAAAGCATTTCCCCAAAGGCTTGGCCAATCCAAAGATGCCAAAGATACTTTCACTGGTCTTATTAAACATTGTTTTGGAAGCCCATGCCAGAGTAGTCACACAGAGAAAAAAATAAAGGCATCCAAATTGGAAAACAGGAAATAATTCTGAAATTATTCCTGTTTGCTGATGATATGTTCTTATGTAGAAATTTCTAAAAATTAAAAACTTTTAGATTTGATAAATGCATTCAGTAAAGTTGTGGGATACAGAATTAATAGACAGAATTCAGTAACATATCCATATACCAATAGTGACCTAATCAAGGATCAAATCAAGAAGGCATTTTCATATACAATAGCTACAAAAAAAAAAAATACATAGAAATTTAACCAGTGAGTTGAATTATCTCTATAAGGAGATCTACAAAATGCCGGTGAAACAAGATGACACAAAACAAACAAATGGAAGAACATCCCATGATCCTGGATTAGAAGAATTAATGTTGTCAAAATGACTAACTGTCCATTGCAGTTTACAGATCCAACAGAATCCCTATCAAATTATGTGTTATTTATTCACAGAATGAGAAACCATCTAAAAATTCATGTTAAATCAAACAAGCCTAAATAGCCAAAGCAGTTCTAAGGGAAAAGAACAAAGCTGGAGGTACTGAGTTACCTCACTTCAAATTATACTACAAGCCTACAGTAACCAGAATATCATGGTACTTGTATAAAAATAGACACATTAGGTCACTGGAACAGAATAGAGAATCTGAGAATAAAACTGTATACGTAGAAACAAACTGTTATTAGATAAGCTCAGTCAAAGTTTACATTGTGAAGATGTCACCCTGTTCAATAAATGGTGTTGGGAAAATCAGATAGCGACATACAGAAGAATCAAACTGGACCCATAGTTCTCACCATTTGTCAAGTTCCCTTCTGGGCTCGTCTGATGTAATGGAAGATTAGGACAATCAGAATGCCAAATATGGTCTGCCCAATACTGCCTGGTTGATGCTAGGAGTATGTGGTGACACAGCTTCCTTTTGCACCTTGCTAAGAGGTATAAAAGAAGACATTGCAAAGTTCCTAATAACTTCAGTGTCCTTGTTCTTTTCTTCCACATAAATAAGGCTCAACTCTTTATTCTGTTCCATTGGTCTAAATGTTGACTTTTGTACCAGTACCATCTGTTTTGGGTAATGTGTCCCTCTAGTATAGTTTGAAATTTAGTAATGTGATGCCTCTAGCTTTGTCTGTTTGCTTAGGATTGCCATAGCTATTTGCTGCCCATATTCTGATTGGCATTCTCCAGTTCTCGTCCTTTTGAGTTTTGACTACTTGACATCTAAGTTGGTTTTAAGGTCTCTAGAGAGTGCCGATAAATTCTAGCCTTGTCATGAAGAGAATCTGGGAGAGATTGTCATGAATGTATACAGTGTGTCTTTCATAGTATTTATTATTCTGTATTTTGGTGGATGGCATAATGCTTGTGATCAGATGTCCTTGTCACCAGATTGTCTGTATAGGTAGTTCCTTATTGATAATGGTTACCCTTGGTTTCGGACATTGTGAAGGTATGAAAATCGTATGCATTCAGCAGAAGCAGTTAGCTTTAAGTACCCATACAGCCATTCTGTTGTTCACTTTTAGTTTGGTATTCAAACTAAAAAAAAATTCCATTACATGGGGTTTTTAACACTTTATTGTAAAAAAAGTTTTGTTTTCATTGATTTTGCCTGACTGTAGGCTAATGCAAATGTCCCTTAGCCTGAGTAATATGAAAATCTGTCTCTACCAAAATACCTAGCCAGGAATGATAGTGTGTGTCTGTGGTCAGTGTGTGCCTGTGGTCCCAGCCACTCAGCAGGCTGAAATGGGAGGATTGCTGGAATCTGGAAAGTTGAGACTGTAGGAAGCTGTGATTGTGCCTCTGCACTCCAGGCTGAGTTGACAGAGTGAGACCTTGTCTCAAAAAATAAATAAAATAATATAATAAAATAAAGTAAAGTATAAATAAAACAAAATAAAAATATAAAATATGTCCCAGTCGTGCTTAAAATAGACTTGGCTAAGCAATGATGCTCAGTAGATTAGGTGCATTAAATGTATTACACACAACACTTGAACTTATCACGGTTTAGTGGGACATAACCCTTTTGTAAGCCACAGAGCATCTGTTTTGACAGAAGCCTTGTGGTTCTTATTTAACCAGGGTCTAGTTTATTTCTGTCAAGACACCTACATAGGAGAGCCTTGACAGGAGGAGAATTTGGTTTGGATGTAACAATCAAGTGATACACAGGATGGAGCAACACAATACAAATGAAATAACAGAAGTAGTATGTTGCAGAGAAGAGTTAGCATGCCTTGAAAGGTAAGTGGAAAGAGGGAGCTGTCTGGGATGCTGAACCCAGTGGAGAGTGAAGGAACTGTGGTCCAAAGCCTTTATTAAGGATCAGGATATTGCCCAAGCAGGTTTCCCTCAGGGACTCTAATTGGTAAGTTTAGATCAAGTTACAGGAGTTCAGGGTGTGACTGACACTTGGTCATGGTGGCATATCTGTGCAGTCCTTGTAGGTTATAGGGGTTAGTGGGGTAAATCAGGTAGGTTGTGTCTAGCTGTTCCATAGAGGGGTGGTAACGAGGAGGCAGTTGCTTAAGGAAGGTACCTAGATTGACTAAAGTGAGGAAAAATAAGAGACAGAAACTAGAAACTGTGTCAGGGTGACAAAGACCTGCTTCTAGTATGAGAAAGCTCTCCTTCTATTCAAAATTGATGCCAAAGCAGCCTAAAATTATAATTTTCTACAGGATTCCTGTGTGTGGACATCTTTCTGTTGTGTTGCATGACTTAGTAACATCTAAGAACCTAAAAATGTAATTGCTAGGTGACTTTTCTGAGTTTAAAATTTTGTTTTTAATACAAATTGAGTATTATGTAGATTTCAATTGTATATTGAAAGAGGGGATCTGTCAGTGTTCTAGTGAATATATACCACATATACTATGTGCTCATGATGAAAAAGTAGAGGTTATCACACTGAACTGAAAACTGAAGAGAAATATTGAATATTTGAGCATCTGTAACTCAAAAATCTAAAATGAAAAATTCTCCATAAATTTAAAACTTGAAAATTTCATACTATTCTAATGTGATGTGTCCTAATCCAAATGCAGGTGCACAGCACATAGTTTATTCAGCATCTCCTAGAGAAGAAGACACTCTCAAATCCCTTTAGCTGTTATACATCTTGTTCATGCATGCCAGATTCACCTAGACAAGCAAGGCCACAAAGGGTAATAAAATGGCACTTATGTAGCCTAGATGTGCCAATGGCAGGTTCTCCACAATGCCCCACATGGGTCCATGTGCATTGTTTTTTGCTTGCTCTCTACTTACTGATGTAAAAATACTGTGTCAGAAAAGTCCTGCATCTACCCTTATGGATAAGAATGATAAGAATTAAAGAGGCATATTTTAAATGTTTCTCTTGTCTGGAGGGAAAAATAAAAGCCATCCAAGCTGGACATGGTGGTTTACGCCTATAATCTCAGCACTCTGGGAGGTCAAGCAGGTTGATTTCTTGAGCTCAGGAATTCCAGATCCACATGGGCAGCATGATGAAACTGTTGTCTCTACTAAAAATACAAAAATGATGTGGTGTGATGGTGGGTGCCTGTAGTCCCAGCTACTTAGGAGACTGAGGCAGGTGAATTGCTTGAATCAGGGATGCAGCAGTTGCAGTGAGCCTACGTTATGCCACTGCACTCCAGCCTGGGTGACAGAGTGAAACTCCATATCAAAAAAATAAAAGTAAAAAAATACAGTGTGTACAGTAACTTTTCATCAAAATATAGCAGCATAGGTGGAGACTGAAAACCTGTTGTTTTCTTATTGTTCTTCTTATAGTTTATCAGCTGTTAGAGGTGATACATTCATACATCTCTTAATGACAGGAATGCAGTCTGAGAAATTTGTAGTTAGGCACTTGCATCATTGTGTGAATATCATATGGTGTACTTAGAAAAGTTGTCCTTCATTAATATATGGCCCATGACTGTATCCTACTGTGCTGTTTAGTTAAACAGACACCATTTTCCAACTGAATAATGCTGTGTCATATTTTTTTTTGCTGTTTTAAGTACTTACGTGTTAATTAAGAAAATGGTTGCTAATCAGTAGCATATGTAAGTTCCTGATTTGGAATGTTGGTTATGCCAAACAACCACAGATTGTGCTCTTGGGTCGCTGAAATAGTGACACCTTTGCTTTCTGAGGGTTCAGTATACACAAACCCTTTTCATACTCAAAATTTTTAAAAGTTTTGTACACAGTTACCTTCAGGCTATATATATAAGCTATATATAAAACAAATGAATTTTATGTTTAAACTTGGGTCCCAGCCTCAAGATATCTGTAAATGAATACTTAAAAACCCAGAAAAGTCAGAAATTTGGAACACTTTAAGTTTCAAGAATTTTAGATAAGGGATATGCAGCTTGTACTAACATACAGTACAGGGTAATGCTGTACATTAAAAAAAAGTGACTATGTTTTTTGTAAAATCGAATAGAAAATTGATTTTAATTTACAAAATGGAGAGAACTAGAGAAAAATATTGTAATAGGTGATATATTCAGAACTTAAAACATTACTTGAATTCTTATTAATGTATAATTAGTATATGTAATAGATATAAAATGTTATTATAAAGATTGTTTTGTGTTTTATATTAACAGAATGCTGCATTTTTATATGGCCTTGGTTTGGTCTACTTCTACTACAATGCATTTCATTGGTAAGTGGACTTATGTCACCATTTATGTTTCTCATAAATTGTGGTGTGTAAGATAAACACACATAAAATGTTTTAATGTCCATAGCCTTACATTCTTGGTAGTATCACTTATTTTTGTGGGAATTTCTAATCAAGTTCCACCCATTGATCTTTCATCTTGGCCAGTAAACTGGTAACCTGATCACAAATTGTCATGTTTCTGTTTTGTTTCTTACCTCCTTTAAGTGCCGTTGACAGTCCAAAGGAAGATAAATAAGTTCATGGCCAAGATTTGCAACCATACCGTGTAGGTTGCTGTAAAAGTTTATTATAAAGATCTTAAATATGCACAGACAACTATTTGACATGTTTTCCTACAGGTGAATATTTAACTTTAACCTGAATAGCTTTTCCTTATAAAGATCTTAAATATGCACAGACAACTATTTGACATGTTTTCCTACAGGTGAATATTTAACTTTAACCTGAATAGCTTTTCCTGCCATTTGTTTTTCTTCCTTTTCTGCTTTTGGGCCATTTAATTACATCAAGTCTGGAAGTACTGAGTGTTTGATACTGAGTGTTAAATATTCTACAATGATTTTTTAAATGAATTATATACATTGTTTTAAGAGATCTTAAAAATTCACTAACCCTCTTGTATAATGAGGCATATATAAGACCAAGAATAGATTGGGACCAATTTGAGGTCTCTGTAAGCTTCTTGAAGATCCTATTCATAGAATTCATCATTTTAGACTTCAGAAATAGAAAGGTTTTAGAGATCAATTTGTTTAATCTTTTAAGTTTGTTAATGGAGAAAACAGATACATTAGTTCTTTGTCATTGTTATTTAACCCTTTATTTAGTGGTTTAAGGAGACCTGATATCTGGGGCCCCAGTCTCATAATTCAAAGAATAATTCCTACTGAAAGCAAAAAATGAATATTTTATGCATATTTTGGCATTGAATCGAAAGACTCTGATCACCTATCATTGGGAAGACTGCTGACACTTTTAGGTGCTTCTTTGCAAGACCTCTTTGGCTGGTAGGGCCTCTGCTCAAGTTTCATTTGTGATGGCTGGACTGGTTCTGGCCAGTTGACCCTACATGCTGTGCTCGGCCCGGCCCGAATCTCACATTGACCAGTTGGGAGCCAGGTGCAAAGTGGCAAAGCATGTGTGAGTAAGTGAGCACGGGGTCTGGCTATGGCATACAGTCAGGCATGCCAGCAGGTTGGACAGCTCCAGGTGCATGAGTGAGTTCTGTGCAAGTCTGTGACTGGACTAGACTTGCCTTAAACAGCTCTGGCTTGGGGAGTCCTAGGGATTTTTCTTGATTGGAGAGACTTATTTTGAAAAAGAAACAATAGTTAAAGCAGTAGTATAGAATTTGAGCGAAGGTAGATTGATAGACTAGTGAACATTTAATTAGATTGGAAAACCCAGAAACATTCTCACATTAACATGAGTACTTGATTTATATCCAAGGTGGCCCCATATTGCTGTGGCATTTGAATAGTCTATTCCACAAATTATGCTAGACTATTGGAAATCTGTGTGGAAAAATAAAAATTAATCCCCTATCCGTATTATTATATATATTGGACAGGTGTTTGCCTATAATTTCAGCACTTTGGGAGGCTGGTGCAAGAGGTTCCCTTGAGCCCAGGAGTTCAAGACCATCCAGGACATCAGAGGGAGACCCTCTCTCTACAAAAAATTTTAAAATTTGCTAGGTGTGGTGGCATGAGCCTGTGGTTCCAGCTGTTGAGGAGGCTGAAATAAGAGGATTGCTTGAGCTCAGAAGATGGAGGCTATGATTGTCCTATTATACTCTAGCATGGGTGTCAGAGTGAGACAGTCTCATTTGAAAAAAAAAAAAAAGTAAACCAAAAATGAAAGGCAGAAATAAAAGGTATAAATAAAGTTTTTAGAAGTGTACTTCTTTGAAACTGAATAGAAGCAGCATTAACACCTTCATTTTCTTACCTTTTCACATTTTCCTGCTAGTTCTCCCTGAGATAGTTCAGAAAGATTTGTAGTAATTTGCACTGAAATTTTTCTTCAACCTTTAAATAATCTTGAGTAGTTTACAGAAGTGAGGAGAAAGGATTGTTAGCTTTCTTATCCCTTTCTTTTTTTTGTTTTTATTACATAGTTACTATTTTCATTAAAATTGAATAATCAGAATGTTTCCTATACTCTCAAGGGAGATACACATACATATTTCAAATTACAGTTTCTTATGTTCGCATTTTTTCAGGGCAATTAAAGCATTTCAAGATGTGCTTTATATTGATCCCAGCTTTTGTCGAGCCAAGGAAATTCATTTACGACTTGGGCTAATGTTCAAAGTGAACACAGACTACAGGTCTAGTTTAAAGGTACGTGGTTGACATTATTATATACAATTTCACTTGTGTGTGTGCGCATGCGCATCCTATTTAATGATACTGAGAAGTGTTGAAATTTATATTAGCACTATAAAAAATTTAGAAAATTGAGGATTTGACCTAAAGAGGTAGGAAAAGTTTGAACTGATTTCAGGATAAAAAATAAATACTAAGACTTGCAGGATAACTTTAGCACTTTAAAGTTTTTGTTTGGTTTAATTTTAAAAGCTTCCGTATGATCAGGAGATGGTGAGGTTTTGATTTCCTTTGTGCATCAACATTACTTTGTATAGGTGTCTGCCACCTTAGAGATAACAGTTAGTGATGCTGTTTCAGTTATAGGTCTCATTAGAAATCTACACCTATAATAGCAAAACTTGTGTCATAGCAAAGTGGTTTGTTACAATATTCTCTCTACAGCTTTTGGACTGCCAGTTGGTAAATACTCAGTTTTTGGGTATTAGGTATCATTTTGGGAAAATTATATTGTTGTTTAAATATCTTAATTCTAATGGAAATTTGATTTCTCAACATTTTTAGTTTTTTGCTATGTACACCTATTTTATGTTTTCCAAGACTTTAATGAAAATAGGTCATCCCTTTAAGTTAAAGACATTGTTTTTTGAGAAAATTATAGCTTCTGCAGAAAATAATAAAATTTGTGAATTTGACTATTACGAATGTTTCTCTTTTTTCAGATACACGTTTTTCATAGATTATCTTAATTTTAAAAAGGGAGCGTATTTATGTGACATAACAGTAGGATTTAACTTGAACTCACCAACACAAAATGTTAAAGAAATGCTTTTTAAAAACTTGTGTTGTTTGGGTTGCCCATACCACCCTCAAGCTGAATGATTTTTTAGAAGGACTTAAAGAACCCAGATAACAGTATACTCATGGTTACAGTTTATTACAGTGAAAGAATACAGGTTGAAATTATCAAAGGAAAAGACATATAGCGCAGTGTCTAGGCGAGAGAACCTGGTGCAAGATTTCATTTGTCCCCTAATGTTGTACATCTGTGAGCTGCAATTCTTTCTTCCTACACCAAGTTAGGAAAGCATGAACAGAATATTGTCCACCCGAGGAGGTTACTGACTCTTGCTTTTCAGAGTTTTTACTAGGTTTGGTCTTGGAGCTATAGTGGATCTGTCTCCAGTGCCTAAAGAGAGGGGTCTGATGCCATGATGCCCCAGGCCTCTGTCATAAATTAACATTTGTTAACATTACTATCTGGGATCACCCAAAGCCCCAGATAAATCAAGACACTCTTGTCACGATATTCTAAGACTTAGAGATATCTGCCAGGAGCTTGTCAAGATTCATAACTTTCTTTGAATATGCTGGTCTGGCCAACCCACTCTTGCCAAGTTAATGCCTTACTACATGTGATTCTTACTCAGTTATGCCTTAGTTGTTTTAAAGTTTACAATCATGTAGACTGTTTCTGCTATTTCTGTTTTTTAAAGAATGACACTGATGGAACACAGGCAACCTAAAACATTAAAATCATTGCAAATAGGCCAAATAAATAACTTAGGTTTTACACTGCTCGGAAAAATGTGCAGCAGAGGAGTCCCTAAAGTCTAAGGTTGAGTTCAGTTATGTGTAGAAATAGGACAAATATTTCAGTTTTTCTCAAATTTAGGGTAATATTTTCAAATTGTATACCATTTGGGATATCTGTGGATTTGAAATTGAAAATGAGTACAGCTATGCCACTTTGTAGATTTTAATCCTTTCTGCACATAATACACACACACACACACACACACACACACACACACACAATCTGTCAAAGGCTCTAAGATATCTTACAACAGAAAATATACGTGGTAAAATTTTCTAAGGACATATTTGTTTTGCTACAGCAATGCTTTATGGTTTTGTTCTATGGAAATTTATTGGAGGGCAAAAGGAGTAAGTACCAAACATTATTTTTTTCATAAATATGAAACATGCATATAAAAACCAGAGGAGGAAATACTTAATTTAGTAGTCAATACAGTGTTATCTCAAAGAATTTTATGGATCCAAAGCTCTCATTTTAATGAAGTGGCAGTATTTAAAAATTAAAATATTTAGGCAGAGAGGAATTTGACAATGGTTTACCATGAGTTCGTTAGCTCATTGAAAGTCGTCCTGCTTATTGATTGTAACAGATACTCAATCCTGTATGTGCTTTTCTTTGCTTAGTCATATGTAAAGGGTAACAAACGCTTTAAGTGTTACTGATTTTAGCAAAAAATGTCTTAGATATATGCTGTTTTCTTTGTTTTTGCCATCTTACATTTATCTTAAGCACTTGACAACTTTCGGTCTTTAATTCATTTGTATAGCAGTAAAAACTTTTGGGAAGTTTTCGACATTAATCTTCCTTTTATGTGAATGTGTTACTTGATTTTTATATCATCCTGAATTTTTTTTCCTCTTTTCCCTAATAATCAAAATATTCCTTCTCTATTGTTGGCATTGTTATAAGCATCAATAGTTTAACTGAGGAAGAGATATTTCTCTATATCACTATTAGTAATTGGCATTTAAAATGAATAAAGGTGTGAGTCAGAATGAATGTCTCCCTTTTTAAAGTTTCCAGTTTTCTTTTGTTAGACTAATTAATAATTTATCTAGCCAAATGTGGAATCTATTTTGATATTTGTATAACACCAAGGTATTTTCCTGGCAAAGTGTCCTAGGACAGACATTTTGGCTTCACTTTTATAAATTCAAACTCTAAAATTACTAACTCACAATAGAAAGTCCAAGCTTCAGCTGGGCGCTGTGACTCACGCCTGTGATCCCAGCACTTTGGGAGGCCGCGGCGGGTGGATCACGAGGTCAAGAGATCGAGGCCGTCCTGGTCAACATGGTGAAACCCCGTCTCTACTAAAAATACAAAAAATGAGCTGGGCATGGTAGCGCGTGCTGTAATACCAGCTACTTGGGAGGCTGAGGCAGGAGAATTGCCTGAACCCAGGAGACGGCGGTTGCGGTGATCCGGGATTGCACCATTGCACTCCAGCCTGGGTAACAAGAGCAAAACTCCATCTCAAAAAAAAAAAAAAAAAAAAAAGAACAAGCTTCAAGGTTAGCTGATTCAGGTATTCAGATATCTCACCAAAGATCCATGTTCACTTTTGTTTTCTGTTGGATTTTTTAATGTTTGATGGAAGAAAGTTGTCAGGTTTAATTCAGATGACAACCCCCTGTCACCTCTACATATTTTCATAGGGACATTACAGAGTAATGGCTGAGATGGTTAATAATATTGTATAATTAACTACTTAATAAATATATGGTTTATCATTCTTATCTTCACTTGTAATATGGAAAAGAGCAAAATTTCCTGTTGTTGTCATCCAAAATGAGTAAATAACTTTGTAAAAAGCCTCCAAAGTTTGCCTTTACTGTCATTTGCCCAAAAGAGGCTATGTGCTCATTATTTTATTTCCTATCAGAGTGCTAGTATAGTATTACTCATAGTCCTATGCTTGAGTAAGGTTTAGTTCTCCAGGAGGGTCACATAATGGATATATTGGGGTGGAGAATAGCATTTAAGTTTATTACATACAGTTCATGTCTTCTCTACCTCATTTTCTTTCCTTAGTTCCATGGAAGAGTATATGTGATATTTCTGAATGGTAAATTATTTAAATAAAATGCAGGTCGTTTTCAAAACAGGTCTCTCTGTCTTTTGTTTATGCATGGCATACATTTCAGGGCTTTATATTTCAGTTATGTTTCTGAAAATGGCCAAATCTATCACTGAAATAGTTTAATTCAGTTTTAATATAGTGTAAACTGGCATTGAGATACCAGATTTTAAAGTATGATGTTAACTCTTTTTAACTGAATGTGTAACCTTGGCTACAGTGCCTGTTTTGTTCTTACTAGGGGCATAGAAAGAAAATGAATCTGACAAAAAAAAATTTACTTGGCTTGTCAGCCCTTTTAAGTTCTGTTTCTCGTCTGCTACCTAAAATTTCTCTAAGTTTGGGCCATTATCTAGTATTTGTGAATTCTGTTTTTCTTTCACAGAATTTAATCTGTGCTTTAAAAAGTGAAATTAATCAAATTTCCATGGATTTAACACATGGTAGAAATAGCAGTTGTCAGTTTATGAAATAGATTAAAAGTATACGTGAATTAATTCCATTTTAGAGTAACTTCTGTACTTCACATCTAATTTTTTACTTCTTCAGGATAATTAAGATTTTACTTTATTCTCTCTCACTATGTATGATATTAGTACTAATCAGTTGTTATACTTGGTATATATTTGCAGCAGTGAATGATCATTAGTTGGATAAAAAGGTGAATTTTGACAGATAGTCTTATATAATGCCTAACACCTTGCATAAACTGGTAAACTGTTAAAAATGTTACTTGAAGGTAAGAATATTATATACAAATATATTTGTGAAATATAGTATTCTTCAGTAGCTAACACCAGTTCAACTACTTGATTTAATAACGATTGTATAAAGGTGGTAGATCTTAACCATTCTCACAGTATCCTCCACCCTTACCACTTCTCACATGTGGAGAACATACAAGAAATAACTGTGAGGTGATATGTTAGTTAGTTTGATTATTGTACACGTTTCACAATTTATGTATATGCTTACATCACAGTCTAATGTATATATAATATATATGTTTACCTCAGTAAACATAACTCAGTAAAGCCAGAAAAAAGATTATATAGAAATTTACTTAGTATGTGCTTATCTGTATATATGCTAATTTATTTGAACACACATCAACATTATAACCTTTTGGATTTTTAAAATCCTTTGTGTTAAAATGAGGATAATTGGTGAATATATTGAGGTATTATCATTTTCTGATTTCCTATTGAAAAATAATAAAGGCTTATTTAAGAGGCAGATGTGAAAGGGTAAAGAAAATGAGAATTACAGCATCATTCCTATGGTCAAAACCAGGTCCAAAACAAAAGTCTCATAGTTTATCACTCTTGTAGTATT